TGGGCGAGGAGCGCCTCTGGTGAGTGCGGCCGCCCCTAGTGGACCCTTTGCTCCTGACCAGTTGGATGATAGCAGGAAGTTCAGGCCTAGTGGGGCGGCGAGCAAGATGGCCTACAATCTTGTGATACTGGATGGGAAGGAGGATTATCTTGCCGATAGGCGAGAGATCAATCCAGAGTTAAGGGAAACGGGAGTTATCCCTGATGAGGCCGTCACTTGCCAGATTGTGGTTCCCTCGAAGACGAGGTTGGGTGAATACCTCCCGAACTACGAGGAGACCGTGGGCACTGTTGCAGGACGGGAGGCGGCGAAGGAGTTGATGAGACTGCTCTCGTGCGATTTCGACGGCTTGGTCATCAATTCAAAGAGAGTCTCGGAGTTATTCGAGGAACGTGTGCTGAAGGAGACCGGACGCGAGGCTGGAAACTGGGTGAAAAGTGACCAGGCCATCTGGTTCCTGAAGGAGATTTCGGGCATGGAGAACGCTGAGATGTCTTGGAAGTTCTTCATTCCGACGCTTAAAGCTTTCCCGATAGGGCAAGTGGAGGCGATGCTCATGGTCATGTACGACGGGGATGGCGTTCTCCTCAAGGAGAGCACCAGGTTGGTTGCCGTTAGGCACACGCGGATCGGACGCGACTTGAGTTACAGTGCCGTTAGGCACAGGTATACTCAGGAAGATGCACCTGGCGGATCTCTGATGTATGAGATGCATTGGAATGAACTCCCCATGGTGGGATACGTCATCATGAAGTTCTCGGACTTTCGGAAGGCGGTTCAGCTCCAAAGGGTGAGGCGAAATGGAAAGGCCATGATCGAGATATTGATCACGAGGCCCGATGTGTACGAGACCATTGGGGATGGTAGGCAGGATGAGGGCCTGATCCCACTTGTGGGAGCCATGGCGCCGGATGCTGAGGTATCGCCTTCGTGGTATGTCAGGGACAGGCTGCGGAACTACTCCGGTAGGTACGTGGTGGTAATGGTGGATCTTCGGGTGCACTGGTCCTTGGTTGGACCCGTGTTTTTGACGAGAAGGAAGACTCTTGCCGTTAGGAACGAGATCCACATGGGGGCTTGGAAGGCGGCGTATATGTACGATGATTACACGATAGTGTACCATCGGGCATGGGACTACGGTGACTTCACCCCCGTTAGGGGAGAGCACAAGCGATCACGGGAAGAGATCAGGCTGAATGTGACTGCCACGTTCTGCTTGAGGTGCGCAGAATTGATGCCGAATGGGATGCACTTGTGTCCCGGGTGCGCGCTCCCGGTCTTTTACCCGAACTTTATCCCCAACGCGGAGGAAAAGGACTTCGAAACGTGCCACATCGTGCCGGAGTGGGTGAGGACAATGGGGCAGTTCAAGCCCAGGAGGATTCCCTCCGAAGTGGTCGGAGTCATCAAGAGGAATTTGATTTCCTATTCAATGGCATCCGATCTAAGGATGACGGTGCAGAGCGGCATCAGACTTCCCCCTTATCTTGGTGAAGACAAGGGAGGTGTCGATGCGGCGTGGGATGAGCTGGCGAAGGTGCTATTCCAATTCTCCTATGTGTCCGGGATTTCGGCATCGGATGCGTTTGTGGAAAAGTGGGTGGCGAAGCACCTGATCAAGACCAACCAAGTCGATAGATTTGAGTCGGTCACGGAGTACTTCCGGGCCAACCCAAGACACGCTGCTCAGTGGGGTAGGCGTATGACGACTTCCGTTAGGAAGTTCGCTCGTCATGACACGTACTTGTCATTCTATATTCCGATGGCATACGTGATTGGTTCTGCGGCTGGTCATCTGACCCCATTGTACCCGACTCATCGAAAGGACGTGGACATCCTGGAGAGTCATGCGTTGATTTCGCAGCTCAGGAAGTACATGGTATCGGAGACGGGGTACGATGAGAAGAAGAGGTTGAAGGAGGCGATAGCCAAGGTGCAGAAGGCGATCAGCGCCGGACAGTCGGAGCCTCCCGCACCCTTCCGTGACCCGTTCGTCTACGTTAGTGACGAAAGGGTGAGGACGGTTCTTGACGGTCGTCAACCCGAACCTTTGAACGTGGACATCGAGGGGCTCCAATCGGTGCATCATGCTGCGCCGGGTCCTGGTCCCAAGCAAGAGCCGGTCCCCAAGGGCGGAAAAGGAAAAGGGAAGAAAGGGGAAAAGGGCGGTAAGGGCGGTAGTCCTTCCGGCCCACCACCGAAATCAGGTGATGTGCCAGGTAAAGGATCTGGTAAGGGCGGTAGCCCATCTGTCCCAAAGGCGAAGGACGATGCTGGACCTGCTCCGATGGAGGTAGATACAGCGGCAGCTCAGCCGAAGAAGTCTTGGGCCGAGATGGTGGTTGAAGGAGCCAGGCCGAGTGCCAAGGCTAAAATGACCCCGATCCCTAAGGCCGAGCCGAGGGGGAAGGCCGCTTCAGCTTCTGAGGCGAAGGGTGCCCCGGCTCCAAAAGCTGTGGCTAAGGAGACGAAGCAGGCCGAACCGAAGGTTGAGGTCAAGAAGGAGAAGACAGGAGGAGGTGACGCTCCCGGCGGTAGCCGCGGGTCGGCCGAAGGACAGAAGAGAGAAAGGAAATCCCGTTGGGATCCCGACGAGGCTGCGAAGGAGTCGACAAAGCGGGAGGCGTCCACGAGGCCTGGCGACGTCGACAGCAGACCAGGTGCGGCAGCGAGAGAAGCTAGCGGGGATGATCTTCACTCCGCGCTTGGCAGATCTTCGGCAAAGGATGCGGTAGCGCCTTTGACGGCCTCCAAGGCGATGGCAAAGAAGCCTGAAGGCGGGGAGATCCGGCTGCAGTCTGCTGAGCGGGCTGCGGCGAGCCCGGTGGAGGGTCACTTCCTGGTGCTGCCTGAGAGTTCGGTGGTGGACGCTTTCTTGTCGATCTCCACCAATAGAGTGCTGAACAAGCAGGTCAGGGATTTCATCAGGAATGGTGAGGACGCGTCGGCACTGGAGGCTCTCAACCAGATCGTGACGAACTCTCGATCTGGGAGGAGGCATAGGGAATCGGATGTTTCCCGTACTCCTTCTCGGAGGTCCGTTAGGACCGTGGACACCAGGGATTCCAGAGAGTCGAGGAGGCGCAGATACCGTCCGCGGCGCGAGGATGATCGCGACAGGAGGAGGGACGATGCTCGTGATCGTCGTGATGATGATTCACTCGATCGGGAGCGCGAGATGATCGCAGGAGATCCGAAAGGGATCGTGATAGGGACCGTGCGCGGGGCGGACGTGACCGGAGGAGACGTGACGATAGCCGGTAGGCTGAGTCACGAGGATTGCGGCCGGTAGGCTTGCGTCCATTCTCCAATGGTCGGAGCGGTGCGGAGGTGGTGATGTCCCTCCCGGACCGCTGAGGCGCGGAGGTCATGTCTCTCCCATACCGCTGCTGGGCTGCTGGACGTGTCCATCGGGAAGCAGTGTGAGTGAGAGGGAAAGCAAACTGATGGGGGGTTACTCCCGGGTTTGCGGAATTCAAGCATTTTTCAGGTACGCATGGTCAGGAGTACCTCTTGCCGTTAGGCGAGGGTACTAATGGACATACGTTATCTTCTTTTTCATGGCTTCTGATAAGAATTAAACTTCTTGCATTGTTGATGCAAACAGTTGTGGCCTAATGTCGTCACGTGGACTTTTCCACAAGGTATGTTGGACAGCGTTACCCCGATTAATTCGGGGTGGTGGCGGGAATTTAATGCCCGGGATGTCGCGCAACTGCCTTTGTGGGTTTGCTCCACCGCTGACGGCGGTAGTGTCCAGCTGTTTGCGGACGCATGCGAGCAGTTAAATCCTATCAGTAAATGGCACGCTCCACCCGTCATATGACGGGCTCCTCGTGAGGGGGGTGTGATTAGCCATGGTTCATTTCATCATCAGGGATGTCGCGGTAGTGACTGACCTGTGATGTTTGGCTCAAGTTTTGGGTTCCGTCGCGCCTCGAATGGGCGTCGCCGAACCCCTGCGTCGACCGACGGCATCTCGGGGGAGAAAGAGACCTCGGGCCGCCGCCAGGTTGGTAGGGACCAGTCGTGCGGCCTGTTGTCGACCAAGGTTGCGGGTTAACCCTTTTCTTGTTTGGTTTGTTTTCCTTTTGGTTGTTGTTCTCTGGTGTGTGGGAAACCCTGATCTTTGGGACCGGGGATTGGTTTGCTTTTGGGGAACCTTTCTTTTGTGGCTTGTTTACCCCAACTTACCCATTGCCTGGGCACAGGCTCGTGCCCGAATCACAGGTTGTTTTTCTTCCGGGGATGTTTTTTTTTCAGTCAGATGTTGTTTTTGGGTTCTCTTCAATTTTCCCCCAACAGCTGGAAGCTTGGGGTCGATGGGCCCAGAAATCGGCGATGAGGGGGTGGTTTGGGGCAGCTTGGGGCAGCTTTCCGGGAAGGTTCCTGAAAACTCCAGGTTCAGCTGTTGGGGATACCACTTGTGGAGGGACGAAATCCAGTTTGCACCACTTGAATCCACTGTTGACACCACAACGTTTGTTGGTATTTGCGTTGGGGACTCATCATTTATTTGCAGGGGAATCGAATCATTCCGTTGGGTTCCTTGGGTGATGCAGTCTGACTCACGGTTTGCCTTTTCCACTGTGGGATAATAAGCAGCCCCCCTGGTAGAAGCCCTTCTCAAGGCAGGCTGTTTTCAGCGGAAAACTTGCTGGTGCTCAGCAGGGAATGAGAAATGTGGAATGACGCCTATAAACCATGAATTTCCTATGGTTTCCTTTATTCGCCCTATAAACCATCCAACTGGTGGTTCCTTTATTCGGGAATCCCAAAACGGTTCATTCCACAATTATGATTCCCTCTTAAGCAAATGATGACCCCTCTAAACCGGGTTCATTCCCTCATTCCCTCCTAAGCAAATGATGACCCCTATCCCATAAATCATCCATTTCCTATAAACTATGACTAAACCATCCATATCCTATAAACCATCCCATAAGCTATGACTCAGAACTGGCGCCGTCGTCAAAAAAAAAATCCGCCTCGAACGCCAGGCCCAGCTGGCGCGGAAGACCCAGCTGCCGCCGGCAGAGTCCAAGCCCAACACCGACGACGTGCTGCCGGGAAGCCCAGCGAAGGTCCAAGGCACGGGAACCGCACTCCCCGAGTTTCGTTTCGGGGGTCTCCCCCGGGTTTTGGGTTTGGTAGAAAGAGGGATGCCTGGAAAGAACGGAATTGGAAGTTTGGATTCTGCCCCTAGAAATGGACTGCAACTCAAACCAAGAAGCATGTCTTGTTGGGAAACATATTTTTACATTTTGCTTGTTGTGGTGTAGTGGTTGAAATCCAACCGCTTATCTGCTAAAATTTAAACTTTGCTCCCCTTCCAACGTCAACCAAGTTTAGTCACTTCTTGGGTTTGGAGCATGTTGGCCTTCGAGCCAGGGGCAGGGGGCTGTCCAGGGGCTGGCAAAGCTTAAATGAAAACTCCTGGTCCATTTTTTGAGGGAACCTTGAAACGAAAAGATAGCCAAAAGAAATCAAAGAACAAGTCATAGGTCCAGCATCACCTAGTTTAAGCAAGTGTGTTCCCATCAGCCCACAATGTTTGATTCCCTTTGTTCTGAGGAACAAATACAAATATCGCCCTCTGGCTCACTTTTTGAGTGGATTGGCCAACGAAAGGTAACCACGCTTTTTGTTTGCCAGGACGATCCTTGCAGGTGCTTGGTCAATCATGGAAGCGCACATTTCCAACATGCTCCGTGAGTTCCATGTGATACCCTCCGCATTAGTCTTGTTGTTTTCTGGATGGGCGACACTGCAAGTGGGGGTTGATCAGAGGCCCTGCACAAATGGGGACCATGAAGGACACCACCAAAAAAGAGTCGTTCACCACTCAATGGAACATGTTACCAATGGTCATTTTGGGGCCAGGAATATTGATCAACCCTCAAGTCATGCAAGTCATTGTATTGCCACTTGTGGGCAAACATCAGTCCTTCCCCCAACCAGCACTTTCATTCATGGGTATTCCATGGTCTCCACTTGGCCCCCTGGTCCGTCCGTCCACCTTTCTTTGACATCCTTGGTGTCGCCTGCTGCCGAAAAGAAGGGGCAAAAGGAAGATTTGGGGCTTGAGGCAGGCCAGGTGCCCCTCTCCGTGTCGAGATCAGGAGTTACTGCGAAAGCCCATTTGCCTGTATATTAGACAGCCAGCAAGACCAGGGTTGTGGGATCAAGGGATGTATTTCCGCTTCTGATACAAGGGTCTCCCCCTTGATATGGGGGGGGGTTAGTTGCTGGGAAGCCCGTTTTGTCGTAGCTTATCGCACAATTCGTGGCTTCCGTTTCAACCCACGGCCCTGAAGACCACTCAACACGCACTTACTAAACCCACCGGATTGCGGCTCGCCTGGGATCCGGGGAAGCTAGGAGTCCAAATGATCCTCGAGATGGTGGGTGTTGAGGCCTCACACTGGGGTAAAAAGCGCCTCTAAATGGGTGGGTCTAAGGAAAACCGGCGGGTGGCAAAAACGCTCCCAGCTCCCACGCAAGTTGCGGGGCCTAGTGATTGAAAGACCTCTAAGAAAGGCGATCCCCGTTTGTGTTGCATGAGGCACGCGCTCTTGCCGCCCCGTGCCTTGGCTTGAGACCTTGTCCATGTCACACGTCGACATGTGAAGGGCCTGTCAGTCAGTTGGACCCAAGCTGTGGTGTGGATTTGGACCTTGCAGGAACTGCGACCACTGGAGGTTTGTGTTGCTGGCAGTTTGGATGCTGTTTGTGTCTTTTCAACGGGGCATGCAACATGTGGTGTGGTACTTGCCGTTTGCCACACAGGTCAAACGGTTGCACGAATGCAACTGCCCTGAGAGCAGCGTTGTGATTGTACAGGGGGTGTGGGGTGCGGTCTAATTAAAAATGGGTGTCCAGAGAAGCAGCCGCTCTTTTGACTCTTTACACCGTTTCGGGTTTCGCTTGTGACGAATGCCTGTAGCTGGTTGGCTTGGCCGCCTGGGCTACCTGGGCAAATAGTAGGCAGAACTCTCGGGGTTTGCACGGGCATGCCCTATTTCAGGTTGAGGTATACCTATGTCGTTGCCCAGAGAAATGCGCGCAATTCCCAAAAAGGCGGGAGAAATGAGTCGTCCTCAACCTCATTGTGGGAGACGCCCTTTTTTGTGCAGCTTGCAGATCCGCTCGGACCTCCTCTCTGTACTCTGTCTCAAAACGTTCACTCCCTAAGGCTCTGGACTTTAGTCGCTTTTCATCCATTTGCTTAAGAGCATATGTTTGTTTCTCCTTGCTGGTTTTAAAGGGAATCTATCACTACTTTTTTATTTAATATTTTTTCCAGGGGGCTTAAGCAAATGGGAGTTTTGTCGGGTTGAGAAGCGGCAAAGTTGGATCCCATTTCGCTCGCCCAGAAAGGGTTGCGCCCCCATGTGCTGCGCGTGGCAATTCCGAGGCGAATGGATCGAAGATGGCAAGCACTACCAGCAGTACGTGCCTTTGCTGTAAGCATTCCCACGCCATGGGCAAGTCCCTTAAAGGATACATCGAGGATACTTTGAGTTTCGCTTGGATTTTAGATGTACTCTACGCCCAATTAGCTGCGCAGATTCCGCGTCCTCTTTGTCATCCATCTGACAAAAACACGCCAACCACCCCTCCCTCCCGCAGCTGTGTCTCCTGCGCCTTTCTGTTCTCTCAAGCCAGATTTAGGCCCATTCAAACACGTTTAAACTGTTTAACATCAGCCCATTTTCGCGACCAATTTGAAAGCCAAGACGAAAGGGGCGTTTTCCCGACTTTCAATTTGGCATGACTTTCAGGAGTCTTGATTCCACCTGGTTTCAAGCCATGGGGCCCTACAAATGCCTGAGGATAAAAAAGGAGGGGGGGGTCCTGATTTTTGGGTTCGCGAGATCAGCCCTTTGGACCAACTTTCCCGTCGATGTTTGACACTGGCCATTCTTCGATCATCCGCATTGTGTTTGTTTTTTCAGGTCCGACCTGTGTCTTTTCTTGCTGGTTTTCAGTAGGGAATAAGACATTTTATGCTTACAAATCATGAGCAAGTTCCAAATCCGCATTGTCGTACTGGTTTTTAGGGAACGAGAAATGGAATGCACCCCATAAATCCTCCAACTCGTGGTTTGCTTTATTCGTCAATCCCCTTCCGGTTCAGTCCCAAACCCCCGACTCGTTGTCATTCCCTACCGAGATCGTACTAGCGTGGCTTTTTGCGGTGTCCCCGAACACGAAGAAATTGTTCGAGGTGAACACTTTCACGCTGTCTTACGAAGTGGACCCGGTGTTCATGGGAGTTGTTTTTAGGCAACTGTCCAAGTGGTTTGGGAATTAGTCCCAAGGTTGCTCCGGCGACGCGTTGAATGGGTTAAATCAAAGGGTTCCGTCATTGGATGCGAAAACATATAATTGTCCTTTGGTGCAAGCGATCGGAGCCCGTTTATTAGAATCTGTGGAACGGGTCCCCTGAGAACACTTTGGGTAACTGGGGGGAAGCGAATGAAACTTAAACAAACTCCTATTGGTTACTGTACCCCTTCAACGAACCGAGGTCAGAGGGGAATACCCCTGAGATCAAATTCTGGTGTATGCAAAACATTTAGAGAATCAAAGGCTGTATATCCACACCAATTTGTGGTTGGGACTGTCCCCTACATTTACCCGGGTTTTTATGGTTCACCTGAACAGAAGACCTTCAACAACAACACATCAAAACACCATTCCACAAAAGACTACCACAAATTGCAAACAACACACACGCACACATCAACAATAATCAAAAAAGACAGCTACCAAGATGAAAAAACAGATCGGAAAAAAGACAAATCAACCAAAATCACCACTTCAACATCAACAAGTGCACATCAACCACATTTCAATCACAATCACCACTTCCAACTACCGCAATCTAAAAAGACAGATTTCAATCATAATCACCACTTCAACCCAACTACCACAATCTATCAACAACACACACCAACCATACAATCCCTGCTTCAATTTTCCGCCAAAAGGGACTTCAAATCAGCCCAACTGGCGATGATTGAACCGCCCTAGGGAGCCCTGAGCGGTTGGTCCACGTTCGGAGCGTCATCCGACGCAAATGTCTCAGCCGGTTCCGGGGCACGACGCGCTCACGCCTTAGCGACAGGTGAGCAACCAGCCGGCCACGCGCCTGGACGTGATCCAGCTGCAGGAGGCCTTGGACCAGCGGCTCATGGAGCGCCAGGCAGCGAGATCCGGGTCCGGGGGGGATGGGGGGGATGAGAGGGGATGAACTGAGGGGGGATGAACTGGGGGGGGATGAACTGAGGGGGGGGGGGGCATGAACTGGTTTTTGGAGGTGAAGGGTAGGGTGCGTTTTTTTTTTTTTTTTTCTCGGGTGGAGATTTGGTTGGTTGGTTGGTTGGTTGGTTGGTTGGTTGGTTGGTTGGTTGGTTGGTTGGTTGGCTGGTTGGTGGCTCCCAGCTAATTATCCGGTTCCTTACGTGTTTTAGCTTTTTAGTTGGTTTTAGGGGTAGGGTTTCCGAATGGAACCCACTAAAGTGAGTCACTTGTAGCAGGGGATCTGAGCACAGCAAGTAAACCAACCAATCATGGTTGAATTTAGAGTGATTTCTTTTGTTCCCGAGCAAAACTCAGGGCCTGGGCGATTCAAAGGGGTTGGTTTAACGAGAAAAGGACGGCGACCGTTTTGGGGCCCTTTGACACATCCAAATTGGGGTTGGCTCCAAGGGAATCCCTAGAGCTCCCGTTTTGCCAGGATCCCATATTTATTATTCCAGGTGTTTGGAGTGTCAGTTATCCCACGCTTGGATGACCCCACGTCAGATTGCAATTTCCAGTTGGAGGCCGAAGTGGGATTTATCCTACAAACCGTTGCAACCTTGCTGGTGCGATAGGTAGGGAATGACAACGAGTCGGGGTGTTGGGAATGAACCGGTTTGGGGGATTCCCTTGAAGGAAGCCACAGGTTGGATGGTTTATGGGGTCATTCCATTTCTCATTTTCTGAAAACCAGCAAGACACTGCTTTTCTGGAAGCTGTGAATAACTTATAAGGATCATTCCATCTCTCATTCCCTGCATCTCTCGCACCAGCAAATTGGACGTGGGGTTGGCGAAGCGCTCCGCGGGGGTCAGGGCGTCGATTTCGGGAGGACGCTGAGATCGTCTCATGTCTTTGGCGACTTGCCATATCTCAAGAAGTACTCGGGAGGACTCACTTCGCGCGTTTCTCGTGGGTCCCGGGGGTCCGGGGGTCCGGGGGCCCGGGGCTTGGCCCGGGCTTGGCCCGGGCTTGGCCCGGGGGCCCGGGGCTTGGCAGGCGCGGGAGACGGGGATCTGCCCGGTGCGTGAAGAGCTCTACTCCCAGTGCTTCGACGAGCTGATCCGGCAGGCTGGTGGCTGTGGTTGTCAAAACCGTGTTGGGATCTCATTTTGGTTGGTAAGTGAATTCGCCACCCATTTTAGAACCTATTTGAGTGGGGATTGGGATGTGGCTGTGGTTGTCAAAAGCGTTTTGGGATCTCATTTTGGTTGGTCGGTGAATTCACCACCCATTTTAGGACCTATTTTAGTGGTTGGATTGAATCGGGTGTTCACTGGTGCGGGCTTTTGACCCATGGCCATGTGGTTGGGGGAGAGGAAGCTTTTTTGGTTGGGAGGGTTGGTTCCCCTGCCAAAATGGACTAGAGAAAAAAGGGTACCCTTATTCTATCCTCTCTACTGGAGGATCTAGTTGGGTTGATCAAAAGGTCGGGGATGAACATGGGATGACCATTGGTGGGAAAACCACTAGAAATATTTGACATTTCCTGACATGGGAAAAGTTACCCATGGTCATTTTGGGGGGCAAGAATATTGATCAACCCCAGCGTCATTGCAAGCCAGATCCTTGGGGAGTTGGTGAAATTCTACTTTCGACCTAAATTATTTAGGTTACGCGGAGAATGGGTGGATTGGATGGGGTGGTTTGAGGGTAAGAGCGCCAATCAAAACCGATTGGAGGGAAGCTGAAAATTCTATTGGGCTTCAAAATTCCACATTTCAGAAGCTATTTACTTCCCGTACCAGGAAGTAGTTAAAATCCAACATTCCAGTAGACTACAGGTAGTTCTTTAGCCCCCCGTTGCCACTTCCCCGATGGATTCAGTTTCATCAGTGCTGTCTCTCGGTTCACTTTAGAAGGATAGCCAAAAGGATGTGGTTGAAGCAATCCGTGGTTTATGCAGACATCAATTAACGCGAGGGGTTGGCCAAAAGCTCCCGACGACACTCGCAAGGGTTGCGTTTCCGGAAACACAACCACAAGGGGCTGTAACTTTGATATTGGCAGAATATATGTCTGCGTTTGGTTGGGGCCACGCAGAATTCATAGGCTGGCTTTTTGAGGCATAGACATTGCAACCGCAAAAACCCTTGAGAGTTGTCCATCGTCTTGGCCTTGCGCGTGAGACGCGCGAAGAAAGCCTCGTTTTGGGACTTGAGAGTTGTCCCTCGCGATGGGCGATGTCCTTGCGGTTTCCTCTCTGTTTCCATGCCAGATTTCCTTCAGGTTTGCTCCCTTCACTCGGACTTGGCCCCCCATGTTCGCGCGGCGGCTACTCAGTCCCGGGGTGGTCGTTCTAAAATCACCGCCCAGGATGGACACTTGGTTTCGGCTTCCTTCGGTTTCCGGTTGCTCGGGACCTCTTTCTTCAGCCCTTCCGGTCGGGTCCGATCACAACCCGGTCCAAAAAATGGTGGCAACCCCACAACGGTCAGTCTGGCCCTCGCGCCGGCGAGAGGGTGTGTGTGTTTTGGTAGCTCCCATCGGGCCTACCCGTGCGTTTTAGGATAGAGAAGTAACATTCGAATAGTTGGCAGGAGTGAAGTAACCCTTGAAATTGTTGAGCGTTCACCTTTGCAGGTGAAAGAGTTGGCAGGTGAAATTTGCAGCCCTGTTTTAGAGCATGCTTCCGGGAACAAGAAGTTTGGGCTTTCCTGTTGGAGTTGCCAAGCCTTGGCAAGCGTACCACATAGTAAAAGAGGCTAAATAAGTCGTACACACTTTTGCATAGACAAATATTTTTTGGGATCCTTCCCCTTGTGAACAGTGAGCATGACTTAGACTTAGTAGACTAAAACCTGCGGTCCAATTCCTGGTGGTTTAATCTTGACCCATACCCGCATCGCAAAATCTGGTCGTTTAGGGTTTTTTGGGAGGGAGTCTCCCCCCGCTCTCGCGGGATTTTTTTTTTCAGGTGACCATCAACTGCCCGGAGCGGGGCTTGCTGCTGCTCCGCGTGCGCGACGAGATCCGGATGTCCATCGCGGCCTACCAGACGCTGTACCAAAGCAGCCCGGGGCCTCGGGAAGCCGAGAACGAGTCGAGGGCCTTTTCGAGTCGAGGGCCGTAGCCTGCGGCGGTTGGCGGTTCTCTCCACCCCCCCCCCGCGATTGACATGTTTTTTCAAAGTCAGGGACCCCTTCAAGTGAGAGGTGGTGTGTTTCGCATTGAGTATTTGGGAGTCCCGCCATTTGAGGGAGATTTGCTGGTCTCTGTTGTCTGATATTGTCAGGGGTGGTTTTGGAGCAGATGGAGCTGCATGGAACCTCACTGCTTGGAGGACCTAGCGTATGTGATTGTGGTGAAATATTTTTCGGCACGTTGTCATGCAAGGGTTCCTATCGTGGGCCCACGCGGGAAAAGAACGAGAGCGAGAACCACACCTCCAGCCTCCGCCTGCATGCAGCAAGCCCCTTCACGCAATTTGGATCGCTGATCCTTCCATCATTCACCGAGGGTCCGAAGCATAATTTGAGTGTCCGACCAAAGGGGTCCGAAAGACTCCTTTGGTGTTCCTTTTGCTTTCAATATGCAAAAAGAGGCGTGCCTGATTTCAGGACACGCCGTTTTGTGCTCGCCCAAACCAAGAAGACCCCTCGCTTCGACGCACACAAACTCACACGCCCGGTGGAACCTGGGCTGCATCGGCGTTCCTCGTGACATCTCGGAAGATGGGTATGGGTCAACATGAAATCACCAAAAGCCTCAGGTTTTGGTCCATGTTTCCACTTACTAGGATTCCATTTGGGGTACCTATTTTTGACCCACAGCCAGATGACGGTTTTTCCACCAACCCCTTCGAGGTGTTGTAGCCTTTGAGACCCATCGCTCTAGGGGTACCTTCCTCATTCTTTCCAGGGATCCTTCTTTCTAGAAAACCTTTGGAAACCCATTGAAAACGTTGAAAAATGGTTGTTTTTTGAAAAGAACGCTGGTTGAACAGAATGGAAAAGGACTCACCCCCCTAGAAAACCTCTGGAAACCCAGGGAAAATGGAGAGTCAACCCCCAGAATCGCTCAAAATACTCCTCCCAGCGCCCCTTTCCCCGACGCTCGCTCCTGGCACCGCTCCAGTCGGCTCATGGTTCGAGCGAGGCGTGACCTTCGGCACCCGGAAGCAGCTGCAGTCGGAGCAGGGCAAGGCGGAGACGGAGCAGATGATCGCGGAGCACGAGGAGCAGAAGAAGCAGCGCGAGGCGAGAGGTTGGTCTGGGATGTGCGTGTGTGGTGGGCATAGGTGTCCTTTTTGGATGTGTTTTGCTGAAAAAAATAGAAGGCGATTCCTGGTTTACCTGGTGGTTTAATCATCTACCAGGGACACCCATCTATTTTTCAAAAAGGAGACCTATGGTGGGTGGGTGGTGGTGTGTTGTTGTGTGGTGTGTGTGTGTGTGTTGTGTTGTGTTGTGTTGTGTTGTGTTGTGTTGTGTGGTGTGGTGTGGTGTGGTGTGGTGTGGTGTGGTGTGGTGTGGGTGTGGGGGTGGGTGTGGGGGTGGGCGTGGGGGTGGGTGTGGGGGTGGGGGTGGGTGTGGGTGTGGGGGTGGGTGTGGGGGTGTGGGGGTGTGGGGGTGTGGGGGTGTGGGGGTGTGGGTGTGTGGGTGTGTGTGTGTGGGTGTGTTTGTGTTTGTGTTTGTGTTTGTGTTTGTGTTTGTGTGTGTGTGTTTGTGTTTGTGTTTGTGTTTGTGTTTGTGTTTGTGTTTGTGTTTGTGTTTGTGTTTGTGTGTGTGTGTGTTGTGTTGTGTGGTGTGTGTGTGTGTGGTGTGTGTGGTGTGTGTGGTGTGTGTGGTGTGTGTGTGTGTGTGGTGTGTGTGGTGTGTGTGGTGTGTGTGGTGTGTGTGTGTGGTGTATGTGTGGTGTGTGTGGTGTGTGTGGTGTGTGTGTGTGGTGTATGTGTGTGTGTGTGGTGTGTGTGTGTGTGGTGTGTGTGGTGTGTGTGGTGTGTGTGTGTGTGGTGTGTGTGGTGTGTGTGGTGTGTGTGGTGTGTGTGTGTGTGTGGTGTGTGTGGTGTGTGTGGTGTGTGTGGTGTGTGTGTGTGTGTTAAAGGCTGGTTCAAAGGTTTGTTGTGTTGTGTGTTGTTTTGATGTGTTGTGGAAAATACAGAGGTGAATTAGAACAACCTCACACGACCTCACCCCAAATGGTGCTTTATGTGGGGAATAGCCCCCCAACCACCTTATTTCAGGGTTCTACTTTTTGACCACCCCAAGGTAGACTTAAACCCAGGGATTTTGCTTGTAGGGACATCAACCACCCCTGGGTTTAGCTCTTTTTGGGGGTAGTCAAAAGGTAAACCCTGCTAGGGGTAACTTCCAACTGTTCTTTCCAGGGATCCTTCTTTCCAGCAAACCACCGAAAACCCTGCGGAAATGGCTGGTTTTTGAAAAGAACGATGGCTGAAAAGAATGGGGAATCAACCCCTAGAATTGTTGGGTGTGTGTGTGTGTGTCTGTGTGTGTGTGGATAAGAAAGAGGTGCATTTTGCCTGGATGTTAGGACTTTAACTAATGGGTGTTCCATTAAACCGTTAAAGCCATTCAGGTTTAACTTTTAGCAGGGGAGCAGAAAGCAACCGAGGATAGTTGTGTGGTTGTGTGTTGTAGTTGTGTTGTTTTGATGTGTTATAAAGGTTGGTTTAAACGGGACACCAAAAGGACAACAACCATTTTGGGGGGGGTGTCCGCCCATTGAGACTTCATACCCTGAATGAAATTGAGGATTCGAAACAAGCCACTGGTCACTCTCCATGTCAGACACAACCTCTCGCACGTGCGGTGCACGCGTACCTGCTTGGCCTCTTTTACAACGATGTTACTGTTTTATATTCACAAAACAAGGATCGGAACCAATCATAACATGACATGTTTCTCTATATGATGGGGAAAAGGGACGGAATCATAAGGAATCATAAGGAATCCCCAACACCAAATACGAAATCTATGATTTATTTCCTATCTCTATCACTTCCCTCTCCTTTTTTGATTTCATCTGTTTTTTAAGGGACCCTGTGCTGGACACCATGTAGGTGTGACTTTAGGTTTATTAAAATTCCTGGATCCATGTTCCCTCCCGCCAATTAACATGGAACCTGACAGGGACCCAGTCCCTTGAAAAGGAACATGATCTTCCAGGACCCCCCCCCCAAAATGTCTGGTTCCAACCCAAACCAAAAGGCTTCAGGAAGTCAATCTCCTCCCCATCCCCCCTACCTCTAACCCAATCCCACGGTTTCCCCACGGTTTCCCATGGTTTCTGATGGTTTTCCATGATTTTGCATGGTTTCCCAAGCTCCTGGGTCCATAGAAACCTACAAGGTTTCCACCCAGGCGCGGGTGGTGGAGCTGAAGAACAAGTGCGAGGCCATCGAGCGCCGGGAGGCGGAGCGACGGGCGGTGGACGAGCGCAAGCGGAAGGAGGAGATTGACTTCCTGAAGCCTCTCGGTTTTGGGTTGGAGGCTTCAAAAACAAACGTAGAATGCGCCCAGAAATACGGAAATCGTATCCTTTGCTTCAAAGAAAAGGAATCACGTGGTTGGGCTTGATTACAAGCCCAACCATGAGGTTCGGGGATTGGTTGTTGTTATTCTGGGGGGGGGCAGGGAGGGGGTGGAGGGTGGGGAGGGGGGGTGGAGGGGGGGCGGGAGGGGGTTGGGTAGAGGTAGGGGGGGTTGGTTGTTTCTGGGGGGGAGGGGGGGTTGGGGCTGGGGGGGTGTTCTGCGTTTTGCAGACCGTTGACGTTTAGGCAATCAGTTAGAGGTAGGGTTGGTTGTTGTTGTTCTGGGTTGGTTGGTTTGGGTTAGTTAGATGTACTGTGGAGGGTTGCAAACTCTTTATAGGCACCACCGTTCAGAAGCCCAACGGAATGATTCGATTCCCCAACATAAATGCCAACAAACGTTATAGTTTCAACCATGGTTTCATTCCGCCGATTTCGCCGATTTCGTCCGTCCGCAGTGGGGTTGTTATCGGGGGGGTGTGGCTTGAAGTTGTGGAGGCTCGGCTTTCGCTTTGCACGAAATGCCATGTGTAGGTTGGTTCACCCCCTTTTCTCGGGATGGTTTTGAGGTTCAGGGTAGCAAGGGGTCTCCTTAAGACATGGGCAATGGTGGGTTCCCACAAAAGCCGATCTGCCCTTGGTGTGGTTTGGTTTGATGGTTCGTCCTCTTGGGATTCCAACAGAGGTTAGGGCAAAATGCGTACTGGGCCGGGTTGGGGGTTGCCTTGAAATGCATACCTTGCAGTCGGTCGTTTTGCAGTTCATGGCATGGATTTACAACTTTCTGATTCACCATTCACTCGGCGACAAGCTGGCGCACGTTACTAATGTAGATGGTGTTATCACCTTCGGCAAAAGAAGTGGCTGCGCAAAGCCTTTTCTCACACCCCAGCGTGCGGGAGCACCTGTGAGCCAGACTGTCGAACGGCCAAGGCACCAGCAGTCGCACTTGGAGTCCTTCCTGAAAAGCCACGACTCAAAATGAGGAATGGCCACGAGTGGCCGAGTGGCCGTGCATGCGTGAGGATCCTGACAGATCCAAGGATGCCCGCGTGAAATCGTAATATTCACTATTTGGTGATGTTCAAGTGACTGGTTGGTTTTTGAGCGAAGAGGATTGGTTTCCTCTTTGAAACCACACCCTTGATTGGGTGTCCCCGGAACGAAAGACCAACATGTGGCGAGATCTGGATCCACAGCTTCGACCCTCTCACGAGTATCACCTTTGCTGACTGACAAGTGCGAATGCCTTGCAAAAGAATGCGACTGCGTGAGGGATGCGTTGTGTGTATAGATCTATACCGTCTATACCGTATACCCACAAAGGTCTCCCAACTACATTTCATACAGAAAAGCCTGTGTCTGTGGGGTTTGGATAGAGTCTTTGCAGAGGCCGTGTATTTGCTTTTGTCCAGCGGCCGAGTTGTTTGAAATTTCTTCGTCACCATTGGGTTCCTTTCAAATACGCTATTTTATATTCCAAAGTAGGCTTTCCAACCTGGGCTTCTTGTTGGATATGGGAAATATAATCGGATTCCTTTTGGATAGGCAGGGTCTTAGGAAACATCTCAAGTGAACCTTGCCACGGCTCCAATTCTGCATGGGAAATTGCAGGCGTACTAAAGACTGAGGTGGAAAGTCTGTGAATTCCAGAATATGTCCAAAACCCATTTTGTGTTGGAGCCTTTATTTATTCCTTGACTAAATTGAACAAAAAGGATGCGACCACAGACTTACTCAGATCGGTCCCTATTTTTGAAACTAGCGCCCAAAACCTATGCTGACTTGCAGTGCCAACATGGCCTAGGTTTATATTGGCCTTAGACTAACAAGCCGAGGTAGCACTAATTACAAACAATCAAAGGGAAACCGACTTGACAACTAAGGGCTTTCTTTGGCGGCTGGAGTATTAGTGAACTGTTGTAACTCAAAATTTGAGGGTATTTTTGTTCCTCCTATAAACCGGTGCGGCCTCGAGGTCGCATTTCCCGTGCACCGCAGAGCCGCTGCAGCGGTACTCCGGCCGAATCGTCGTGCTTGCGGCGAGCGGCTATGCCCGTCCCGGTCTTGCTGAAATTTCGGAGGGTTCTTCAGATCTTCGCTTAGAGTTCTCGCGGCATAACCTGGCCAAGTTTTCCCGGATTTTGGGTCGCTTCCGGCGACCCGGCTCTCAGATCTCCAGACGTTACCCCCGCAAATTTCTTCTCAATTTGGCAGCTTTCCCAAAAAAATAACCAGACAAATTTCGAGGAAATTTTGGGACCTGACCGAGTCCAAATTTTCTCGAAATGTTTGTGCTTTCCCTCTTTCCCTCTTTACCTCCTCTTTCTCTTTTTCTCTTTTTCTGTCCTTTTCTCTCTGTCTCTCTCTCGTCAAAGTAGAGCTCAAAGTGCAGGGCCGAATTAACCTCGAATAGGCCTCAATGTAGCCTTGACTGGCGCAGAGCGGTATGGCACCTTTTGTAGCTGTCAGAGATGGGTATGCTCAAGCGCCCTGGACCCAGCAGGGCCACAGGCATGTACATGGGTGAGTGAGAACAGAATGGGAAACCTGTAGTTTGACACGCCCCCTCGGAAAGAACGTAGGGCAACCGAAGTGTATTTCCGCATTGCAAAAGTAGATCCATGTACAGCCAAAATGAATTAGTAGGAAGAGTTCATGACTACACAAAAGAGTAGATAGGGGTAGCCATCAACAACTATCCCACAGCTGTAGGGATTGATGCAACCGATGCAAACTTGTAGGACCGATGGCAAGGTCTGGGACTACTGGTGCATCTACGATCTTCGGCAGCTGGTAGGCGTGGCGGTTGCCACGCCTACGGATCCGGTCTACCAATGAGCAGGACGCGGCGGTGATGGCGCTACGCCATATTGTGGCTACTACGGACTGGCCCTACTCAACTTGGTTCCTGTTGACCTACTGAGCCAGTTCGTTGCCTGGGCCATTGAACCCCGTGGAGGACTGAGGCCTATATCTTGGGGAGAACCCCTACTGCGCTGCTTCTTTGAGCCTCCGTACAGGCTCCCGCGCGGTGTCGAAACCCATGCAGAGGCACTGACAGCAGAAGAAGTATACCAGCGCCTCCGCCCTGGTATTGAAGAGATTGATCTTGTCGTAGCAAGGGGCACGTAGGGCACCCGTGAGACTGGCGTAGCCGATCTCATCGAACGTGGCATGCTCTTCTTCGGTGAGCGTGAAGTAGAGGGCCACATGATTCGCAGGGGCAGTAGGCAGGGTGTAGTCTTCCTTCAACGCCGTCGTAGTCACCGAGTAGGCTTCCATCTGATGTAGGCGCAGCATCTCATAGAGCCGCGGCATGATGCTCTTACAAGGAGGCCAGGGCGAACTGTAGAGATCACAAAAAGGCTGCAGTATTCGATGCAGTAGACTTGACTGCAGACCACAACTTCAAGAATGAAAACGTAGTTGATATTCAACCACAAAGATATCCAAAGCTTGTAGGGGTCCCTCAGCTGTCTTTGACAAACTTCATGGCGTAGAGGTCCGAAAAGACGTAGAACATCAACATGGCAAAGCCCACCTTGCAGCCTCAAACATGCCAACGCAGAGGACGACCAAAAGTAGGAAAACTTGCCAAGCAAGATGCACATGATCGTGCACATGAGCATGAAACACGTCATGTAGGTTAAACAAAGGTGTGTATGTATGCCGGCTCATGCTGGTTGTAGCTGAATTCTGGTGACACATGTTGCTGCTTATTTGATGCTGAGGCTGTAGGCCAACTGTAGCAGTCGGTTGAGTGTTTCGCGAGATGTGTCTGCTGCGTTTTGTAGTGTGTGCACCTTATGTATGTTGATACAGCCATCACGCACAAGTGCCTGCGAGTAGAGAAAGCGTATGTCGGTATGCTTAGCTTTCTTGCTTACCCTGCCGGGAAACTATGCTCTTGCTTGCGGTTGAGTCTGTGTAGACTCTGACTTGCGCTTTGGTAGTGACACCCGACTCCAGCAAGAAGTTGCGTAGGTGCAGGCCTGACGTTGGAAGGCGGAGTGCATCCACATGCAATATGGTGACCCAGCGGCTCCCTTGATTTCTTCTTTGGTGTTGGCAGGTTTGGCGTTGGCAGCGCAGAACATTTGTCCGGAGGTGAAACAGACTTTGTTCGTGGACGATCGTACGCTGACGGGTCGAAGTCGAGGAGGGCGTTCTGACCTGGTTGCAACTTGCACAAGAATTTGGATTGAAAAGAGAGCCAGAACAAGGTGCAGCTTTGCGACCCGGAGAATCCCGCAGGTTGGGCATGGAACAATACCCCTGCAAAGAATCATAATCTCGGTGGTGGGCGGACAATTGACAGAGCAGCATGCTAAAGAAACAGCAAGATGGGAGAAGGACAAGCAGAGATGCCGACGAGTCCGATTCCTTCCCCGCTCTTATTTGGGCAGACTTTCGGACACGCGGCAGTTTGCTCTTCCAACTGTTTCTTTTGGCTGGATCAGGGACCTTCCCCCGCAAAAGCAGGTGACTAAACGGGACCGTCACATGTCAGCCTCTGCCCCAGAGTTGCGCATGAAACTGCAGGTTCAACAACTGAACTTGCACTTGCAATCAGGTGGAAGAGACTAGGAGAAGATGAATTTGCTCAGATGGAATTTTCCGCTGACCCGTTTGGAAAATACAGGCATCAGGATCCTATCTGAAATGGGTAGCAGGATGCATGGAGCAATGGGGACCTCACCTTTCGGTTGAAGCACATCGCTCAAGGCGCAAAGTGCAGGACAGGGGAAACGCACAAACTCAGGCAGCAGCAACGAAGATGTATCTGGCCGTCTCTTGGACAGGTGCTAAGCAGGAGACACGAGATTCAGGGTCTATATGGCCGGCTTGGTCGGAGCAACGTTCCTTGCCATTGCTGCGGAGTTACATCCGGACTGGAACCATGTATGGTCATCATTGGCACTTGCAGTCCCCAATGATGTCCTGTGGCGCCGATGTAGCAACCAGATCAAATGCTATGGTTTGGTTGCGAGGATTCATTCCTACCACTCACCAACTTGTTCTTCTTCTTCGTCAAACTTAGGCTTGACGAGGTGGGTGAGGTAGCCAACCGATCTGGTACCCAAGTCGCCGGTAACAGATGCCTGACGCGGCACCTGCTTAGCGCTGTTCTTGGTCACTCCACGTAGGGATGTTTCGTCTAGTATAGTGCTGCTGTAGCTGTTTCCGATAAATGTAAGAGTGGAACATACTCGTAGTGCTGCAAAGCTATGTAGACAATAAACTTGTTCCTCCATTCTTCGCGCTTGCCGTAGCTGCCATCGAAGAGAGGCGGTTGTAGTTTGTGTCGGTAGATTGACGTGGCCGTATTGTATTCCGCTTTAGTACTACTTGTAGTACTCCTTGACTCTTCTGAAGGATCTTGTAGAGCTCCGTTACCACGTTAATGTAGAGCTCAAAGTGCAGTGCTTAATATGAACCTCGAGTAGGCCTTAGGTAGCAGGCCTTAGGTATTCTTGACTGGCGCAGCGCAGTGTGGCACTTTTTGTAGCTGTTAGAGATGGGTATGCTTAAGGGCCATGGAACTAGAATGACGACAATATGGGAAACATCTAATTTGACATCTGTGATCTTTTTCTTTCTTTCTTAATTCTTTTTCTCTTTCATTCTCTCTTTCTCTTTCTCTGTCTCTTTCCCTCTCTTTGTCTTTCTTTGTTTCTTTGTCTCTCTCTCTCTTTTTCTCTCTTTTTCTCTCTCTCTTTTTCTCTCTCTTTTTCTCTCTCTCTCTCTCTTTCTCTTTCTCTCTCTCTCTCTCTCTCTCTTTTTCTTGTTGATGAATTTGAGGAAGGGAAAAGATGTTTATTTAATAAAAATTGATATATATTTAAAGTGTAAATGAATAATATACATAGTAAAAATATATTTAGATTGAATATAAAAATGTGTTTAGATTGAATATAAATTAATATATTTAATTTACATTGTTAATTAGCTAATTTAAAAATTAAAACATATAAATACATTATAATAATTGATATTGATTAGGAATATAATATAATAAACAAATTATTTTGTTTTTAAATATTACAAATTTAGGATTGAATAATAATTATTGGGTTATATTTAACAAAAATTACGAATATTTAAGTTTAAAGAATATATTGTTTATACTATTTCTTATACATTTATTAATATAAACGAACTACTTAGAATAAGAATATAGAATAATGTTAAACTATATTATATATATTTATATATTTTATATTTTTTGTATTTGTATTTATTATTATTCTATATATATATATTTATTATTATTTTATATATATATTTTTATATTATTTTTATTATATATATATATAGAGTTATTATTAATATGATTTACAAATTTATATTTATTATTTATTAGAATAAATTGTAGAGATAAAATTATAATTTAAATAAGCATATTTGTATATATATAAATTATATATTTATAAGATATTAGAGAGAACCCGTTATCTGCAATAACGGCCCATAGCAAGGCCAGGTAGCAAGACTAAGCTGCAAAGCAGGCAGGCAAGGCAACATAGACAGGCAATCAACACAGGCAATCAACACAGGCAAGCAGGCAAGGCAGACAAGCAGGCAGGCAGAGGCAGGCAAGCAAGCAGGCAGAGGCAAGCAGACAGGCAAAGCAGGCAAAATATCGCAATGCAAACAAACAGGCAAGCGGGAGCAACCAAGCAAGCAGAAGTAAGCAGGAGCAAGCAGGAGCAAGCAGGAGCAAGCAGGAGCAAGCAGGAGCAAGCAGGAGCAAGCAGGAGCAAGCAGGAGCAAGCAGGAGCAAGCAGGAGAAAGCAGGAGCAAGCAGGAGCAAGCAAGCAGAGGCAAGCAAGCAGAGACAAGCAGGCAGGGGAACGTAAGCAGGCAGGGGAACGTAAGCAGGCAAGGGAACGTAAGTAGCGGCGCGCAGGCAGCGGCAAGGCAGACAGCGACAGGCAGACAGCGACAGGCAAGTGACGGCAGGCAAGCAACGCCGGCAAGCAAACAACGACAAGCAGGTAACGACAAGCAGGCAACGGCAAGCAAGCAGCGACCGGCAGACAGCAACAGGCAAGCAACGGCAAAGAAATACCGGCAAGCAAGTAGCGACAAGCAGGCAACGACAAGCAGGCAACGGCGCAAGCAAGCAGCGTCTGCGTCTGTCTTCGTGTCCGCGAACGGGTCCCCCGGGCCGAAATTCTAAGGTATATGGAGGCGGCGGAACTAAGCGCAGGCCATCGAATAGCAGAAAGAGAGAGAGAGAGAGAGAGAGAGAGAGAGAGAGAGAGAGAGAGAGACAGAGACAGAGACAGAGATAGAGACAGAGACAGAGATAGAGACAGAGACAGAGACAGAGACAGAGAGAGAGACGGAGAGACGGAGAGACGGAGAGACGGAGAGACAGAGAGAGACAGAGACAGAGAGAGAGAGACAGAGACAGAGAGAGAGAGAGAGAGAGACAGAGAGAGACAGAGAGAGAGAGACAGAGAGAGAGAGAAAGAGAGAGAAAGAGAGAGAGAGATAGAGAGAGAGAGAGAGAGAGAGAGGGGGAGAAAGAGAGAGAGAGAGAGGGAGAAAGAGAGAGAGAGAGGGAGGAGAGAGAGAACGAAAGAGAGAGAGAGAGAGGAAATAATTAGATAAAAAATGAGATAGAGAAATAGAGAGATAGAAAGATAGAGAGAAAAAGAGAAAGAAAGATAGAGAAATAAGGAAATAAAAAAAAAGAAAGACAATGAATAAGAATGAAAGAGAGAAGGAAATAAAGAATCGAACATGGGGGGGGGAATTGAAAGAAAAAAGATATATATATATATATATATACGAGACATTTTGATTTGGATAGATTTTCAATTTTCTTGGAAATTTGATTTGATATTTATTTGTTTTTTTACAATTTGGAGAAATTTAATGTTTGGATTTAATTATTTTCCTATAAATTAATATTGAGGTCGTATTTCTCGTGTATTGGCATGCCGTTATAGTGGTATTCTAGCCGAATTGTCGTGCTTGTGGCGAGTGGTTATAGTTGTTCTGGTTTTTGTTTCGCGGCACAAACTCCCGTCTTTTTGCGCGGCCCAGAAGGCACCGAAATTTTCCGAAGATTTTAATAATTTTGCTTAGAATTTACGTAGCGTTACTTGGCCAAATTTTCCCCGAATTTTGGATCGGGTTCGACGAGGCTTCAGAATGTGGCGATTCTTTAACAATTACCGGGCCAAATTTCGGGGCAATTTGAGGACTTATTTATATCGAAATTTCTCGAAAATTTCGTGCTGGGTGTCTCCATATGTTTGGCTCTCTCTGTGTTTCGCAGTCTGTTTTCGTGTGTCCGTATTTAT